TGGTAGCCCAGGCTGGCCTTGAACTCACAGAGATCCGCCTGGCTCTGCCTCCTGAGTGCTGGGATTAAAGGCATGCGCCACCACTGCCCGGCCTTGTTTTGTTTTTTGAGACAGAGTTTCTCTGTGTAGTTTTGGTGTCCATCCTGGATCTTGCTCTGTAGACCAGGCTGGCCTTAAACTCACAGAGATCCGCCTGGCTCTGCCTCCCGAGTGCTGGGATTAAAGGTGTGCACCACTGCAGCCCAGCCCTTTTCTTAACTTCTGTGTATCTTAATTTTCACTCTTACTCTGTGGCTGTCCCCTAGTGTCCTTGTTCTCTGGCTTCTCCTTTCCTCCCACATTTCCCCTCCTATTTATTCTCTCTGCCTTCCAGCCCCACCTATCCTTTCTCCTGCCTTGCTATTGGCTGTTTAGCTCTTTATTGAACCATCAGGTGTTTTTTTTTTTTTTTTTGGTTTTACGAGACAGGGTTTCTCTGTGTAGCTTTGCGCCTTTCCTGGAACTCACTTGGTAGCCCACAGAGATCCGCCTGCCTTTGCCTCCCAAGTGCTGGGATTAAAGGCGTGCACCACCACTGCCCAGCCCATCAGGTGTTTTAGACAGGCATAGTAACACAGCTTCAGAGTTAAACAAATGCAACATAAAAGAATGCAACACATCTTTGCATCATTAAAGCAAATGTTCCACAGCATAAACAAATATAACACATCTTAAAATAAATGTTCCACAACACATCATGAACTATTTAAAAACAAATTTAGCAGTGGTAAAATGTTTTGCTATTATCCTCACCATGTGAAAGCCAAGTACATATCTGGCTTAATGTAGCTTCCCCACTGAGAAATATAGACCCCAAAGCAGAGTCCTGACACATCTGTGTGGGGTGATTTCCAGCTCACAGACAGGTTAGACAGGCAGATGGACAAGTACTCAGAAATCACCTTTGCTGGGAAAGAACTTCCCCCAATGTTTTAATATTTAAAATTTCCCTTTCCAAATGTAAACATCAACTGTAACCCATGTTGAACAAAGGCCATTGCTGTGAGACCTTACTGTGAGTTATGGGAATATATTTAAACTCTAGCACTTTAAAGAGATGAGGAGCATGAAAGAGATGCTATAATCTCAGAACTCAAGGGTAGAGCAGAGCTAGGGTGCTGAAAGGTTTAAGAAGTAATATGACAACTGACAGATTTTTGTCTAGAATTTGTATTAATTTATCAACTTATAGTAAAGCAAGTGCCAAAGTCAGTGACAGGCATATTGAAGAATATAAAGGAATTCAGATTTTCACAGTTTTGGGGTAGAACCCACATTCATTTTGAGGGGTGCATTGTTTTCTTATAATGCTTCTGTCTCATTTTTGTTTTGAAAATGCAAATATATAGCATTGTGTAGTTTCCTGCGAAACAGCTTTATTGTTCATTTTTGGAGCAAATCACTCAGATATGATGAAGTTAGAGGCAATTAGAACTAATAACTGATGTCCTATTTCTGGACAACTTCATACTATCTTCTTTTCCGTTATGATGTAGGTATGACTTGGGTAGTTTTCTTACCCATCATCAGTGAATAAGGAATGAGATAAACTTTTCAGCTAGCCATTGAGCTCAGCTACAAAGCATTTAACAATGTCGTTCAATACTTGAAATAAGGTTTGTGGATGTTAACCAGACTAATCTAGAATTAACTAATCTGACAGAAAAAAAGGGGGTTGGGAACAGGCTTGAACTCATTGACACAGGAAAGGACTTTCTGAACAGGACCCTGAAAATGCAGGTATTAAGACCAAGAATGTGTAATGGACCCTTATGAAAGAAAAACTTCTATACAGCAAAGGACATCATCATCTGAACAAAAAGACCTCCCACAGAGTGGGGGGGGGGAAGACCCCACTTTGTTTCCCTCAGTTCAGGTTTAGAAAACGTTACAAAAGGACAATGGACTGATGCCTGCTACTGGTCCATCAAATGGTCGCCCACAACATAGCTCAGGCCATTCCCACCAGTGCAAGAAAGACTGACCTGCCCCAGCCTTTGTAGGAAAGCATGTCTTGAGTCACACCACATTTTGTGCTTAAGCAAGAATAAAGTACCAAAGAGATTTTCTTTTCCTGGATACTTTTCCTGCCTGGCATTAAAACAGCTCAGAGTTCAACTTCTGCTTGGAGAAACAGTCTTTGCTCCTTTGGAAATCAGGCTTGATGGTATCACTGCCAGGTGTTCCCAACCACCTGGACACCTTTCGTCACCTTTTGTCAGTGAACTAGAAGGCCTGAACTAGTCTCAGAATCTCATGCACAGAGCAGCCAAGAGAAGGATCATTTGAAGTTATCTGGCAAAGGACACCTTTATTTTCAATGATAAAGAGGCCCCTGAAGGAGACACTTTCATTAGTTTTTTAAGATTCATAAAACTGAGCAATGATGTGCTTGGGAATAATGCCAAGGGAATGTCCATGGGTCCCTGCTGGGGGATGTCTTTCTGTACACTGTGAATATATGTTGTTCCCATTGGTTAATAAATAAGCTGCTTTGGCCTATGGCAAGGCAGCTTAGAGGCAGGTGGGAAATTCAAAGAGAGAGACAGGAAAGAGAAAGGTGGAGTCTGGAGAGACACGAGCCAGCTGCCTGAGGAGCAACATGTAATGGGATGCAGGTAAAGCCACAGAACATGTGGCAACACATAGATGAATAGAAATTAGTTAATTTAAGATATAAGAGCTAGCTAGCAAGAGGCCTGCCATGGTCATACAGTTTGCAAATAATATAAGCCTCTGTGTGTTTACTTGGGTCCTGGCGACTGCGAGATTGGGTGGGACCAGAGAAACCTTCCGACTACAGGTCCCAATCCCTCG